TTCAAAAAATTAAGATTGGTTCAGTCAGTTTAAAAATTCGTGATTTTTCATTAGATTCCGTATTAAATTCGAGACGCATAACTTTTTTTAAAGTGTTTCATTACGTGTAAATCTCTTGAGAATTCTTAAACGAAAAATTGAAAATAAAATACAAAATGTCCTAGCGCTTACCACGCATTTTTTAAACTAGAGAATCTCAAATAGCTTAAAGAAAGATTTATTTTTATCGGAAATAAATTTACAAAATTACAGATTTTTGCTTACTTTGGTTGTAGATTTTCAAATAATCGAGGAAAAAATCGCTTTTCGATAAAAAATAAATTTGGTCAAACCGGTTTTGGATAGAAATAATTGAATTGTTGTGTTCGGTGTCAGATATCATATTAAGGCCTCATTTTTTATTATCCACTAGAAGAACTTAAGAATTAAACATAATTGAAATAAAAACTTACTTTCCGATCTAAGCATCTTGAAATCATCTACTTAAATAAAAAAAAAACATCCTTTCAAAGTTTTCTTACCGATTCTTTATTCAAATGCTTTCAGATTCGCTCAGATTCTATCAGATTCTGTCAGATTCTCAAATTCTCTCACATTCCTTCAGGTTCCCTCAGACTCCTTCAGATCCTTTCACCTTCTCTTTTTTTCTAGATTCTTGTAGATTATACCAGATTCTCTCAGATTCTTTCAGTTTCTTTTCTATCAAGTTTTCTCAGGTTCTTTCAGCTTCTTATGGATTTCTTCATATTATTCCAGAATCATAGAGTTCATAGATTCTTCAAGACTCTTCTAGATTCTTTCAATAACCCTCCTAATTTTTATCTCTTTCGGATCATTGCACGTCCTTCCAAATTTTTCCAGATACTTAGTTTTTCCGATTAACTCAGATTCTTCTTTCTTCTTCCAGATTGTTTGAGATCCTTAAAAAAAAATCCAGATCGCTTTAGTTCCTTTCAGGTCCCTGTAAACTCTTCTAGATTCTTTCAGTTTCCTCTAAATTCTTCTATGTTTTTCTAGATTATCTCAGATCTTTCCAGATAATCTGAGATTCTCCGATTTTCACAGATTCTCTCTGACTCTTCCAGTTTCTTCTACATTCTCTCAAATTTTCTTAAATTGCTTCCAATTCCCTCCGATTCCTTTCGATTTACTCTGACTTTTTTCAATTCTTTCCGATTTTTTAAAATTTTTTCCGTTTTTTTGTTGACTCTTTTTTCAAATTCACTTGGATTCTCCCAAATTCTCTCAGATTGTCTTAGATTCTCTCAAATTTTCCCAGATTCTCTGAAATTCTCTCAAATTATCTCAGATTCTCAAATTCCTTCAGACTCCTTCAAATTCTTTCAGGTTCTCTTTTTTTCTAGATTCTTTTAGTTTATTTTCTATCAAGTTTTCTCAGGTTCTTTCACCTTCTTATGGATCCCTTCACATTATTCCAGAATCATAGATGTCATAGATTCTTTAATATTCTTCTAGATTCTTTTCGATTTCGGATCATTGCAGGTCCTTCCAAATTTTTCCAGATACTTATTTTTTCCGATTAACTCAGATTCTTCTTTCTTCTTTCGGATTGTTTCAGATCCTTAAAAAAATTCCAGATCGTTTAGTTCCTTTCAGGTTCCTGCAAACTCTTGTAGATTCTTTCAGTTAGCTCTAAATTCTTTTATATTTTTCTAAATTATCTCAGATTCTTCCAGATAATCTGAGATTCTCTGATTTTCACAGATTCTCTCAGACCCTTCCAGTTTCTTCTACATTCTCTAAATTTTCTCAGATTGATTCAGATTTCTTCTGATTCCTTCCGATTTACACTGATTCTTTCCGATTATTTCCGATTCTTTCTGATTTGTTCAAATTTTTTTCGTTTCTTGTTGATTCTTTTTTCAGATTCATTTTGATTCTCCCAAGTTCCCTCAGATTCTCATAGATTCTCTCAGATTCTCTCAGGTTCCCTCAGATTCTTTCAGATTCTCTCAAATTCTCTTTTTTTCTATATTCTTGTAAATTATACCAGATTCTCTCAGATTCTTTCAGTTTCTTTTCTATCAAGTTAGCTCAGGTTCTTTCAGCTTCTTATGAATTCCTTCACATTATTCCAGAATAATAGATTTCATAGATTCTTCAAAATTCTTCTAGATTCTTTAAGATTCTTACAGTTTCCTCTATATTCCTTTAGATTCTCGAGATTCTTCGACATTCTTCCAGATTCAATCAGATAATCAGATTTCCTAAGTTCCCTAAAATTCTCTCGGATTCTTTCAGATTTTCTCAAGTTCCTTCAGATTCTCCCAGGTTCTTTCAGATTTTCTCAGATTTCTTCATATTTCTTCAGATTCTTTCAAAATTTTTGAGTTCTCTTCAGATGTTCTCAAATTCCTCAAATTTCCTCACATTCCCTAAGATTGTCTCAGATTCCTTCAGGATCTTTCCGAATCTCTCAAATTCTTTCATATTCCTTCAACATCTCTAAGATTAGCTCAGATTCTTTGAATAACCTTCATAATTTTTATTTTCTTTCGGATCATTGCAAGTCCTTCCAAATCTTTCCAGATACTTATTTTTTTTCCGATTAATTCAGATTCTTCTTTTTTCTTTCGGATTGTTTCAGATTCTTAAAAAAAAATCCAAATCGCTTTAGTTCCTTTGAGCTCCGTACAAACTCTTCTAGATGTTTTCAGTTAGCTCTACATTCTTCTAGATTTTTCTAGATTATCTCAGATTCTTCCAGATAATCTGAGATTCTCTGATTTTTACAGATTCGCTCAGATTCTTCCAGATTCTTCTACATTATCTCAAATTTCCTCAGATTGCTTCCGATTCCAGTTTTTTCAATTTTTTTTTCTTGTTGATTGTTTTTTCAGATTCACTTTAATTCTTCCAAGTTCTGTCAGATTTTCTCAAATTCCCTCACATTTCTTCAGGTTCCCTCAGATTCCTTCAGATTCTTTCAAGTCCTCTTTTTTTCTAGATTATTCCAGAATCATAGATTTCATAGATTCTTCAATATTCTTTTAGATTTTTCTAGATTCTTTTAAGCTCTTCTAGATTCTTCTAGTTGCCTCTGTATTCTTTTAGACTCTCAAGATTCTTCGACATTCTTCCAGATTGAATCAGATTTAATCAGATTTCCTAGGTTCTCTAAAATTCTCTCGGATTCTCTCAGGTTCCTTCAAATTCCCCCAGATCCTTTCAGATTATTTCAGAATTTCTGAGTTTCCTTCAGATTTTCTCAAATTCCTCAGATTCCCTAAAATTATTTCAGATTCCTTCAGGATCTTTCCAAATCGATCAAATTCGTTCAGATTCCTTCAACATTTCTGAGATTCGCTAAGATTCTTTCAATAACCCTCATAATTTTTATCTCCTTTCGGATCATTGCAGATCCTTCCAAATCTTTTCAGATACTTATTTTTCCGATTAACTCAGATTCTTCTTTGTTCTTCCGGATTGTTTCAGATTCTTAATAAATTCATCTAGATTATTCCAGATAATCTTAGATTCTATGATTTTCACCGATTCTCCCAAATTTTCTCAGATTCTCTCAGGTTCCCTCAAATTCATCAGATTCTCGCAAACTCCCTCAAATTCCTTCAGATTGCCTCAGGGTCCTTCAGATTCTTACGTCAGCACCAAATTGAGCATTTTTTTGGAAAAATTACCCCTTAAATATTTTCCGAGCGCATCCTCAATTTTTATCTAAAAAAATAAATTTGGTCATATTGATTGAAAAGAGGATTTTTCTTGTCGAAATTTCTTTAAGAGTTACTTATATGTGTTCATTTTCTTTTTAATTAACGAAAAAAAAATTGGCCAAATGTTGAGATAGATTGTATTAATCCGAAAAGGCCTGATTTAAATTAATGTGGATATAATTTACTACTCTTAGCTATTTAAGGAGTGGATTGGTTAAAAACTCCGAGATTGTTAACTAGCGTGATAGTTACAGTTTTTTTTCAATGATGGAAATCCCTAAAAATTATAAAATAAAAATTAAGTTATGCAACCAAATATACACATCATGTTATCGCATTTCTGTCCCATACTCTCATTTCAATATCCAAAATTCACAGATTTCAATCAAAACAGAACGATAAATGTTTCCATTTTTAACACATTTTTAGGACAAACAACACAATTTTATTCTGATTTTAAATTTAGGTTTAAAACTTTATTAGTTTTAAGTTTGAAGAAAAACTGTTATAAAGAATGCATTACATCCCGTATTATCCCGTGTAATTCTGCACTTACCCATCGAAAACATTCCCAAATGGAGTGTCATTTCAGCAGCGCAACATATAAACTTCCCCGTTATCGGCTCCCACTAACTTTATACCTTACTCCATCAACCTCAAGAAGCTCTTGTCAAATTGAACGATAATTGAAAAAGAAAAAACTTAAAACGTTCGTGGGATCGTCCTGCGAGCCGGATCCCGCTAAGCAGGACCCAGGTGCGCCTCGGCTCCGTGTTATTCACTGGGTATTATTTTTAGAAAATGAACCAAAGTAGATAAATCCAAGTTTCCGGCTTGTTACGCTCGTTACTGGAAAACTTCCAACCGAACTAAACATTCTCGGAGATTATTTGTATGGATTGCTTTTACGCCTTCTTCTACACAAAATACCAACAACAATAAAAGGAAGAGCGGATCAGGAGGATTACTCGATTTAAAATCCGAAACTTTGCTCATCCCTTTAAAGCATAATTACGCCGCTTCCATTAATAATTAAGCCAACTTTTACAGCCGTTCCTACTAACCCCCATCAGCGATCATTCGATAAATTGATAGGCGAGGGAGGGATTTGTGGCGGCTTCCTGTTTGTTCGTGGCATAATCTCCAACTAATGGAATGTCAAGGATTTGATAAGATTTTTTCGCTTCCGGTAACCCCCTCCCGGAGGTATAAGTTCGTGATACAATTATAACTTAAGGTGCGGGTTCGACGTGAGCTGAACCTCAAGAGGAATCACCACTGGGCTTAATAACGAAAATAGAAAGAAAACACGCTACGAAAATATATTTATCATAAAAATAGATTGTACAAAAATTAGCCTAGACTATAGACGACCGGCTCTTCGTAATCCACTTCGAGCTCCTTCACCGACCTCTTCTTCTTTCCTCCGAAGAGTTCAGCGATTTTTTTCTCGTTTTCTCTCTTCTCTCGGACTCGTTCAGCTGCCAGTTGTAACTTCTTGTACTGCGACGATTTATAATCTGGGTTTTTTTGAGTGTCGCGCTTTTTATCACTCTTCCAAGACACTGGTACTGGTCTCATTTTGTTTCTCACCATCTGGTTGAGGTCGAAGTTCGGGATGAACTCCTGGTTTTTACCCAAACCCACACTTTCTAGTTGCTCTTGTAGTAGGTGTTCTTGTGAGCTCGGGGACTCTCGTTTCGCTTCACTGAATTTATCTTCACAGTGGTGCGTTGGACAGTTGACCATGTGCTTCAACATCGTCACGTGTTTCTCAATGTACTCTTTAACCGGCTCCGCACTCCTTTGACACTCTTCGTTCATATTGTGGTAACTCAGAAGAAGACCTTCCAGTTTGACCAAAATATCTTGCAACTTGTGAACGTCAAAAGGTGGAGGGTTTTTGTCGTCTTGGTAAGTGAAGAGAAAGTCACCTTGTTGTGGATTAGGAACGGCGTTGGTGTTTTCTAGAGTGTTCTTCACGTTGAGGATGATCTCGAGGTAGTCTTTGAGTTCGTCTGGAAGCCGCTGACACAGTTTGCGTCGGACTTGGTTGACCACCAGCTTGTTCAGAACTTTGGTGATTTGGGCAAGCAATAGTCGAGCTTCGTCCACATCTTCGGTTTCGTTGCCGGTCTTGAAAATGTCAAAGTCAATCTAAAATGTGTTGTTAGTGTTGATCAGGAACAAGAAAAGACTTATTACTGTTCCGGCGAAATCTACGTGCTTCCGGGACAGCCCTGAGTAAAATTTCGCTTTTAAGGCGGATTTCTGCTTCAGTTCGTTGAAGACTTTGGAGACGATTTTGGAAGCTAGATGGCCGTTGACCACTTGTGCTAGTTTTTCGTTTTCCATGTCCATTTGGTGCGCGATTTGCTCGTAAGCGGTCTGAAAACGTCTTGATTCAGAGTTGGCTAAGTTAAAAATGATTACTCACGTTAATAACTTTATCGGTCGCAGTGGTGCAGTTCGCGTCGGGAGTAGTCGTAGCCAATTCTAGATTTTCCACGGTTGTGGTTTCCACACACTCTGTCATCTCAGTCATCTCTGTCACCTCCGCTATTTCATTATACTCCTTCTTGTTGATTTTGTGCGTATTGTGTATATACTTTTTCAAGCTATTAATCTTCGTCGGTTCTTCACCCCATCTAGACAAAGGTTTATCTTGACGAACCTGCACGTGATTGACATTACTCTTCCGATTGTCTTCATGCGCGTTATAAATTTTTTCCTTGTTAGCTAGAATCTTCGTCTCTATACCTCTGGATCTTCGCACTTCGTCTTGATCTTCCACGTCGTCAACAAACGCATACTCCGGGAAACTCTTCTTCGGACGCTTCTCTTCATTCTTCTTTTTACATTTAGCAGTCGTTACTTCTTTGGGTTCTTCCAAAATCTGTTTAATCTTCGTAATGTCTTGCTTCTGGTGACTCGTGGTGGGTTTGGGGCTCGTGGTTTTCCAACACGGGGAACTCACGTTCTTAATGTGGGTGTCGTTGTGCACATCTGTGTTATTCACCTTCAAGTCGTCTACGTAGGGGTTGTCTTCAGAATAGTCTTCCTCGTTCTTCATACCCAAAGCGTCTAGAAAATCGCGCCGTGGTCTGGTCGGAATTTCCTCATAGTTTTCCTCTTGGTTGTAGAAATTCGGAGCTTCGTAGTCGATGAATTGGAGTTGGCGCGACTGGAACGAGTCTTGTCGTTTGTCGACGGAATTAGACGACTCCTCGTCGTCTATGTCTTCACTACCGACAAACGAATCGTCGTCTTCGTCGCGACTGGTGTCTTTGATTCGGAGAGGGTGCAACGAATTCTTAGCCAGGATTGACGATCGTTCCTTACTTTTGTCAAACGTGTTCTTCGATCCTGGTTGGTCGTCTTCTTGAAGATCCTCTTGTGTGGATTTTTTAGATAGTGGTTGTTCTTCGTTGTCTCTGCGGGTTTTCGTGATTTCGATAAAACCATTACCTACGTGCTTGACCGTTTTTAACGGATCGCTGGATTTAGTCGTGGTGGTGGTGCCATCACTGGTGGTACTGTCAGTACTGGTTTCTAGTCGTTTCATGTGGTCGTCCGCGTCAATGTAGAACCGTTCGTTAGTGACTGCTAAAGGATCCTGCGGTGGATAGTCGTACCTTGACGCACCTTGAGCCCTACCAGGATAGAACCCTTGTGGGTAAAACTGGATACTATCCGGTCGACCTTCATCCACGGAGTACAAATTATTCCCGGATGGGTTGTTGTAGTTGACTTGTTCGTGGTACGTCGGGTCGATTTCGTAGCTTAGCGCTTTCTCGAAAGCCACTTCGTCGTTGACGGAATGGTGCGGGTTTCCGTATTGAGGGTAGTCCATGGGAGGTTGTCCCATGAACGGGCGATTGTACCTCGGTACGTAGTACCCTCTTCTTCGCGGGTCATAATCAAACCTTCTCTCGTCATACCTCGCCCTTTCCTTCTGAGCTTCATCCGCCAAATCCACGTAGTAAACATCTCCTTGTTTCCTCGCCTCGTTCCGCATGGTTTTCCCCGGATGACCCTTGTAAGTCTTGTGCACGTCCTGCTCGAAGTCCAAGGCCTGTTTTTTCTCTTTCGGGGATTTCTTGGTGTCTTCGTCCACCACGATTTCTCCTTTTTCGCCCTCCGGCTCTACTATTATTTCTTCCGGGGTCCGTTTCTGGAGCTGTTCTCCTTCTGGTTCGTTGAAGATATCAGACGGGAGGTGTTTCTCCCCATGGGTCTCAGCGGCTTTCGTCTCGATGGGTGCCGGCATGCGTTTTTGGACCATGTCGTCGCTTTGGAGCATGATTATCGTCGGGAATCGCTTCTCGATTTTGCCGTTTTCGCTATTTTCGAAGAAGATTTGATCGTTGGTGTCCCGCAAAGTTCCTCTTCGAATTCTGCTGAATTTCTGGCGCATGTTTCGGGGGAGTAAACCGAGGTTTCGGAATTTTCGATGCGGGGTGTAGTGTTGGACGTGTCGTTTGTCGTCGAACTTGTATTTGGTGTCCAAAGTCTAAAATTTTCAATTGGAAACCGAGTATTAAATATAGATTAGTCGTACGTTTACTGGGTCCATGAAGCTGAGGTCCACGTCCTGGATGTCCTTCTTCATCTTCTGGTACTTCCTCGCCGCCTGCCTCACCGCGCCGAAGTCCTCCTTGTGCTCCATCACGCTGTTCAAGAACTCGTTCAGCTCCGGCGGGTTCTCCTCCTTCGGCCGGAATGTCTGCGGAGCGATTTGAATCGTGAATAATTCGAGCCGAGGCAGGTAAGCAACAAAAGGTGCCAGCTCCGGTATATAAGACACGGATAACTGTTGAATATGCGGCTGCTGAAAACGCCGTCACTTAATACCCCTTCCGGCAGCCTCTAATCCAATTAATGAAAAGGATTACGAACAAAGACGTCGCCCGCTACAAGTATGGATATTGTAAAGAGCTGGGGGCGGCCCCCGCCGCCTCCGCCCGCCCGCTCCGACTACAGAAAACTGCCCGAATATCACAATCGTTACGATAAATAATAGCTTTAATGGCGCTGGCTTGACGCTCGATACCGACACCGTCACGTGACCCAAATTCGCCAAGTTTTGGGTTAATGAAAGGCCTGTTTGCCGGGGAGAATTTGTACGATTCGAATTAAGTTTGACTTGTTTATGGAAGTTCCGGTCGGGGTGGGGAAAAAGGAGGCGATTCGAAAGTTCGGCGCGGGCATGTCGTGAGCATCAAAAACACTCGAAAAAAATTTATTTTGAATCAAATCTCGCATTCCTGCTGTGTTTCTTTTTTGTTTTATTTGAGCGTTGTAAGCTCGAACTGGCCAGTGCTGCCAATGAGCGCGCTACACGCTCCGGAAAAAACCCTAAATGCAGAACGCTCGTACCGCGGAATTTTATTTTCAATAAAAGAACCAATTCGATGATATCAAACAGTACGAACGCAGTTAATTCGTTCCTTTTGTGTAATTCAATTACCGCGCGTTCACCTATACCGGCGGTCGTTTCGCTCTTTTTATTTTATGTTTAACATCGAATTTTATGATGGGTTTTTCGTTTTTAGTGCGATGTAAAACCGGTTCGAATTTGGTGGACCAAATATTAGAGAGGAGAACATCATGTAACGGGAAAGGGTGCAAGTAAATAACCGTTTGCATTAGGGAAATGTACACGTGGAAAAGTGGAGGGCGCGAGACGGAAGGACCTCCCAGGATTTACGAGCACTTCGGGCGATAAGTCACACCAATAAGGCCAAAATGTATATTGCGCCGCCGGGGCCATCGGAGACTTCAATATTTTCATATAGAGGAATGGGGAAAATACATTACGGGATGAAGGCGGATCGAAGGAAAATTATCGACAATGCGGTTTCACGTAAATTCTGACGAGTCTTAACGGAGTGCAGCAGGAATTTGGAGGTGGGGGTGGTGCAATAAATTGTTCTAAATTTGAGGAAAGAATAATTACACGAAAGCCGAATTAACACAGACGCCTGAGAAATTCGATTTAAAAACTAGTAGAAATAATTTTTAAAAATTTAAAACTGTGCAATAAAATTTTACACAGGTTCTTTTAACAACTACTGCAGTCGTTTTGAAATTTAGCACGTGTTTTGGATTTCGTCAGCCTGATAGACCTCTAATAAAAATTAATTAATAACGTTATCTAAAAATGTGCTAAGCGAATCATGTTTAAAATATCAACTTCAGCTGCGAGGGAAATTCTGTCTGAATAAATTCGGACTAATTTTTTTTGGTAATAGTTTAGTTAATCAAACAAAAATTCGGTAAAACTTGTTCAAAAATAAAACATTGGGTACCCTAGAAATACATAAAACTATTGAAAAATATAACATTGGGGGTCCCTGAAATTCTTTAGGCAACTTCAAAAATATAACACCGGATACCCCAGATATATTTTTTTAATTTCTTCAAAAGTGAAACACCGAATACCCCTGAGAGTCTTGAAACTTCCTCAAAAATGAAACACCGAGTGCACCTGAGATTCTTAAAGCTTCTTCAAAAATAAAACACCAGGTGCCCCTGAGATTCCTAAAATTTCTTCAAAAATAAAACAACGAGTGCCCCCAAGACTCCTAAATTTTCTTCAAAAATAAATCATCGGATGCCCCTGAGATTTTTCAAACTTCCTCAAAAATTAAACACTGAGTGCCCCTGTGATTCCTAAAACTTCTTCAAAAGTAAAACACTAGGTGCCCCTGAGATTCCTAAAACTGCTTCAAAAATAAAACAAGTGCCTCCAAGATTCCTAAATTTTCTTCAAAAATAAATAATCGGATGTCCCTGAGATTTTTCAAACTTCCTCAAAAATTAAACACCGAGTGCCTCTGAGATTCCTAAAACTTCTTCAAAAATGAAAGACCGAGTCCCCTGAGATTCTTAAAACCTCTTCAAAAATAAAACACCAGGTGCCCCTGAGATTCCTAAAATTTCTTCAAAAATAAAACAACGAGTGCCCCCAAGACTCCTAAATTTTCTTCAAAAATAAATCATCGGATGCCCCTGAGATTTTTCAAACTTCCTCAAAAATTAAACACTGAGTGCCCCTGTGATTCCTAAAACTTCTTCAAAAGTAAAACACTAGGTGCCCCTGAGATTCCTAAAACTGCTTCAAAAATAAAACAACAAGTGCCTCCAAGATTCCTAAATTTTCTTCAAAAATAAATAATCGGATGTCCCTGAGATTTTTCAAACTTCCTCAAAAATTAAACACCGAGTGCCTCTGAGATTCCTAAAACTTCTTCAAAAATGAAAGACCGAGTCCCCTGAGATTCTTAAAACCTCTTCAAAAATAAAACACCAGGTGCCCCTGAGATTCCTAAAACTTCTTACAAAATACCACACTGGGTACTCCAGAGATACTTAAAGCTCTTACAAAAATAAAACACCAAGTGTCCCTGAGATTCCTAAAACTTCTTCAAAAATAAAACACCGAGTGCCCCTGAGATTCCTAAAACTTCTTCAAAAATAAAACATTGGTTGCCTCTGAGATTCCTAAAACTTTTTCAAAAATAAAACACCGAGTGCTTCTCAGATTCTTAAAACTTTTTTAAAAATAAAACATGGAGTGCCCCTCAGATTTCTAAAACTTCTTCAAAAATAAAACACCGAGTGCCTCTGAGATTCCTAAAACTTCTTCAAAAATAAAACATTGGTTGCCTCTGAGATTCCTAAAACTTTTTCAAAAATAAAACACCGAGTGCTTCTCAGATTCTTAAAACTTTTTTAAAAATAAAACACCGAGTGCCTCTGAGATTCCTAAAACTTTTTCAAAAATAAAACACCGAGTACCCCTGAGACTCCTAAACCTTCTTCAAAAATAAAAGACCGGGTACCCGTGATATTCCTGAATTTTCTTCAAAAATAAAACATCTTATGCTCATGAGATTCCTAAAGCTTCTTCAAAAATAAGACAAAATTTTCCTGGGACTCATCAAACCTCTTCAGAAATAAAACACCATGTACCACAGATATATCTAAAACTATTTAAAAAATAAAACATGCTGGCCATCTGAGACTCTTTAAGTTTCTTCAAAAATATAATAGGTATCCCAGAAATTCTTTAAATTCCTTTCAAAAATAAAATATTGGCGCCAGTAAGATTTTCTAAATTTCTTTAAAAATAAATCAATGAGTACTTCCGAAATTCCTCAAATTTCTTTAAAAATGGAACTCCGGTTGCCCTAAAGCTAAATTCTTTCAAAAATAAAATACGGGGGACCTACGGAATTTTTTAAAGTCCTTCAAAATAAAACACCAGTTATTTCAAAAATTTATCCAATTTCTCTCAAAAATAAAACACCGGAGGTCTTTAAGATTGTCCAAAGTTTTTCAAAAATAAAACATGTGAGATTTTTCAAGCTGGTTCAAAATTATAATACCGATTATCCCAGAGGTTCTTCAAATTTCTTTCAAAAATAAAACATCGCGGGCCCGTGAGATTTTCTAAATTCCTTTAAGAATAAAACACCTGCCACGCTTGAGATTACTCAAAAGTAATAAAACACCACATAAAACGCTCGCAAAAATATAACATTGGTAAGATTCTTTAAGCTTCTTCAAAAATATTACAGCGGGTATCCCAGAGATTTTTTTAAATTTCTTTAAAAGTAAAACACCGTGTGTTTGAGAGATTCCTAAAACTTCTTCAAAAACATAACACTGGGTATCCTAGAAATTCTTGAAATTTCTTCAAAAACAAAACACTGGATGCCTCTGAGATTCTTCAAACTTTCTCAAAAATAAAACACCGAGTGCCCCTGAGACTCCTAAAACTTCTTCAAAAATAAAACACCAGGTGCCCCTGAGATTCCTAAAACTTCTTTAAAAATAAAACACCAGGTGTCCCTGAGATTCCTAAATTTTCTTCAAAAATAAAACATCGGATGCCACCGAGATTCTTCAAACTTTCTCAAAAATAAAACACCGAGTGTCCCTGAAATTCCTAAAACTTCTTCAAAAATAAAACACCGGTAGGCCTGAAATTCCTAAATTTTCTTCAAAATTAAAACGTCGGATGGCCCTGAGATTCTTCAAACTTCCTCAAAAATGAAACAACGAGTGCCCCTGAGACTTCTAAAACTTCTTCAAAAATAAAACACCAGGTGCCCCTGAGATTCCTAAAACTTCTTTAAAAATTAAACACCAGGTGTCCCTGAGATTCCTAAATTTTCTTCAAAAATAAAACATCGGATGCCACCGAGATTCTTCAAACTTTCTCAAAAATAAAACACCGAGTGTCCCTGAAATTCCTAAAACTTCTTCAAAAATAAAACACCGGTAGGCCTGAAATTCCTAAATTTTCTTCAAAATTAAAACGTCGGATGGCCCTGAGATTCTTCAAACTTCCTCAAAAATGAAACAACGAGTGCCCCTGAGACTCCTAAAACTTCTTCAAAAATAAAACACCAGGTGCCCCTGAGATTCCTAAAACTTCTTTAAAAATAAAACACCAGATGCACCTGAGATTCCTACATTTTCTTCAAAAATAAAACATCGGATGCCCCCGAGATTCTTCAAACTTCCTCAAAAATGAAACACCGAGTGCCCCTGAGATTCCTAAAACTTCTTCAAAAATAAAACACCAGGTGCCCTTGAGATTTCTATAACTTGTTCAAAAATAAAACAACGGGTGCCCCCAAGATTCCTAAATTTTCTTCAAAAATAAATCATCGGTTGCCTCCGAGATTTTTCAAACTTCCTCGAAAATGAAAC